ATATTAAATTAAGTATTTAAATGAAAATTAATAATTATAAATTTATTCATGTTTCTTCAATATTAAAAATGCTACGATGCCGATAGAAATTAATTAAAAAAAGAACAGAAAAAATATATTTACCTTATAAATTTAATTGATCCAATAATTATTATGTAGTTAGTCATAGTGCTTATTTATTAGATGAAAATTTTATGTATAAAAATTATCAATTTCAATAGCAATTGTCTTAGTTTGTTTTATATACCTTGAATGAATTTCGATAAAAAATGATTCTTTCGTCATTATCTTTGTTAACTATTATTCTGATGAAACTTACATATTTCAAATAATTTTTGCTTATAATACTACATATTATAATTTAATAATGGAATTAAATTATTTGTAATGAGAGTGATCGGATTTTCTTGTTTGCAGTGTTAAATTTAGTAATTATCATACTATTTTGGTTCTTGCAAATTCAAATTAATCTCTTAATTTTTAAGAAATTCAATTGAAAACGCCAAAAACATTTACAATAGATGGATGTTTAAGTATATTTAATTTTTTCTCATTTAAGTTGATTTAAGATTAATCAGGTCATTTTCCAAAAGATTTCTCTTATCATCTTATATTCGATGAGAAGTTCTTAAATTAAAATAAATTAAAATCTCAATAAAAATGCAAAAAAATTCAGACTAAAATAGAAACTGAAACTCTTTTATTTGGTTCTAAAATATAAATTTAAATTATAAAAGCTTAACTAATATAAATAATCCATTTGTATTTGGCAATGTTTGGTGAATTAACTTTTTATAGTGAATTAATTCAGCAAATCATAAAATGATTAAGCTAAACAGCCCTTAATTTAAAATATTTATGATTTAATTTCATAAAGTTTCTTCTTAATCATCCTTAAATTATTATTATACAAATTTATCTTTAGTTTAGCTAAGCTGGGAAAACATGTTAAAAAATCTCATTAAGAAATATGCTTCAGTTAATTGAACCTGCAAGAGCTTTCTGTCTCCATATCCATTCTTTAGTTTTTTGAAGATTATTTTTATAAATAGATAAACTTTAGAATAGATTTGGACAGTTGAAAGCTTAATGATTTAAGAATTAACATAACTTCTTTTATTCATGCTTTACTCATCTTCTTATTATTGCTATGTGTTGGTCTAAATCTTTGAACAATCTCCAACATCCCCAAGAGTAGAAAACAAATAAAGGCCAATAATTTCAAGAGTTTATTATTGCATTACTCTAATAGTTTTTTTTAGCCAGGATTAGAATTGAATAATATAATCAATATATTAGTAATTACTAAATTATCTATTTAAAATCACTAAGCATCTCTAAAAAAATGTCAATCAAATCATAAAAAGTAGAGCAAATGAATTGATAAAAATAAATATCTCATATTTAGATCCTATAAAAAGTTAGTTTTTATCATATCAATTTCAAATTTATTCATTCTTATAAAATTTATTTAGCAGAATAAATATTTTCACAGGATAACTTTGACCTCCTCAATTTGGGTATATGTTTATGAATAAAGGTTATATTGGATAAACTTGAAGCCTGTGTATATATATGAATTTAGATGCATGAAATGCCTATTACCATTAGCATTTACAAAATATTGAATTCTTTTGTTTTAAATGCTTCTCTTTGAATTATAATCTATTTGAATATAAATAATGAAGTTTTACTTCTAAGATGAAAAATCTAGCTTTATTTTTTTACTTTAAGTATTATAAATATGATTATTAAAAGCTTTGAATTTATGAAGTAATTTAGAAGGAGTTAAAGGTATTAATGAATAGATGATATTAGTTTAATTCAAATATAACAGATTAAAGTAAGAATAAACATATCCAGCTAAATTTTCATCATTTACTAATAAAAATAATAAATAAGAATCAAGTCTTTATCA